AGGGTTTAGGGTTTAGGGAAATTTAGCATGATGATGAAGATCGAACCTGGTAGTTCCTCGGCTGAGTGGGGGAGTCAGCCTGACCCTCACGAAACGAAAGGAGCGGTCCCACTTGTTCAGGCCGCCTCAGGCCCCAAACCCTAAACCCTTGTTGCCCGACAAAATCCGGCCGGATGCCGCGTGGGAGAAGACCGGAGCTTCCCAGAAGCAGCCCGAAGCCCCACCACCCTAAGACCACCGGTTTAGGGTTTAGGGTTTAGGGTTTAGGGTTTAGGGTTTAGGGTTAGAGAGAAGCCGGCAAAGACTTTGCCTCCTTTGCTATCTATGAACGCCGTGGATCCCACCTGGGCACACGTACCCCTCAAGGTGCGACGTGACACCACATGCCTGGCAGCAAGCGAGATCCTCTTTCCAACAAAAAATATATATTAAGATTTCCTGTCTCAGCATAGGCTTGCTGTTCTCTACCCGCCGATCTCATGAGCATGATGGGATCCCATGGGTGGGACTCCCCACCTTCGCCAGCATTGCAGCAAAGCCTTAGCCAGAGGTAAACATTTCAGACAGGGCGACGACGCGTTTTTCAATTGTTCGGAGCTTGGGGTGTGCGGTGGTGGTCGTGGCTGTGATGATAGTGGTGGAGGTGGTCGTGCTGGCCGTGCTGGTGCTCCCGCCTTTGCTGCTGCTAGAATCAAGGTATAAGAGGATAGCCGCAGTCAGGGTGTTGCTATCCGTACATTGACCTAAGCCTCCCAGCAGTCAGAGGTAAAGCCGAAGCCCGCAAGAGAGCAGACCATTCAGAGCAACGTAGACCCTCTATGAATGAACTCGTCTCTGTAAGGGTAGTGCATGTATTCTACATTTGGTTTCAGGGTTTCTTTGCCTCAGCCCCGCATACTGGAGCCCAAAATCCGACTAGGCAGCTACGGCTTTGACATCGTGGATGTCGTGGCGTTGCTGGAGAGAGCCATGAAGCACCTTGGCATCAGGTAGTCTGCGATTTAGGATGAAGGTCAGGCTGCACCCTAGGGTTGGGGCGAGGGGGGACAGGGATTCATTCTAAGAGGGGCGGGGGGGGGGGCTTATGTTACCGTACGACCGTGAAACAATGACCTCTCCAAAATCCCAAACTCTAAACTAGCCAGATCAAGCCGTACATACAACAACTTACACCCCAAAAATCACGCTGCACCATAAACCCTACACCTCAAGCAGCAAGCCTTCACCCCGTAAACCCCAAAAGCTTAAAGCCTAATCCTTACACTGCACACCCTGCCGCAAACCGTACCTGAACCCGATACCTAAACCCTGAAACCATAAACCCTTACGCCCGAAAACCGTAAACCCCAACTTTAAGTATCCCCCTGCAAGTCACCTCTTATCGTGCAGCACTTGCATCCTCCAAGCATTTGATCGGCCCAGGATGATCTAAACGCCACAGACTTCGCAGCCCAAAGCATTAAAGATTTGCGACCTAGGGTTTTGGGTTAAAGGTTCAGGGTTTAGAGTTTGAGGGGTAGGATTTCGCGTTGAATGCTGCGGGTTGGTTGTGAGTTGTAGGATTAGGTTTGAGGGTTTGATGTTTTGAGTTTGAGATGTAGGTTTGGGGCCTAGGTTTCAGAGTTTAGGGTTTACAGGCTGTAGTGTCGAGGGTTCGGGGTCCAGAGCTCGCATCCTAAACGCTGGGTGGCTTTGCGGAAGGCGCTTGGGTTGGTTGAGTCGTGCTGGAAGATTCTTCATCGAAGTGGACAGCCATCAAAAGCGTCCCTGCAAAATGCTGTAAAGCTCCACTACCGGGAAGCACTCTAAACCCTAAACCCTAAACCCTAAACCCTAAACCCTAAACGCCCACAAATCAGGCAGCCAGCCATGCCAGAGCCCCCGTTCCCATCGGGCGAGGACGAGGCTGCGACAAAACCCCGAATGATGAGGTTCAGGGTTTAGGGTTTAGGGTTTAGGGTTTAGGGTTTAGGGTTTAGGGGTTTAGGGTTTTGGGCTTGGGGTTTCGGACTTAGGATTCAAGATTAGAGTCGATGTGCAGTCTAGGGTGTAGGGTTAGGGTTGTGGATTGCAAGGACGTTGCAACTGACGTAAAAAGCTCGCTTTTGTAGGGAACAGAAGCAGCCTAACCCTTGACCCACCCTCAACCATGTTTTAGTACAGGGTCTTGGGTTTAGGCTTGGGGTCGTTTCGTTTACGACTACGTAATGTAGGGGCCTGAACAAATACCAGTCCTATTTTGGGGGTTCCTTATTGTAATTATGGTATAATGGGGTGCAACACCCTCTTCTAGTTGAAGCGGCCCCTATAATACTTGAACTCCAGTGCTGCATCTATCATCCGCGTGTATAATCCCTGCAACCAAGGCCCTAGAGCCCACGAGCCTCCTGCGCCCCTGAATTCCAACCCATTTCGGGACGGTTTCGGGTTTAGGGTTTAGGGTTTAGGGATCAGGGATTAGGGCTTTTGGGTTTAGGATTTAAGGACTTGCTCCGGGCTTGAGACTGAGTGACTGGGGCCCAAAATCTTGCAATGACGTGGTTCCGGGCGAAGATCTCATATTTCAAGCGGAGAACGAACGCAAAAGACTCCAGGCATCTGACATTTCCATGTTGCAGCTTTGAATGCAAGCTTTCAAGCCCAGATCACCTAGTAGGTTTCTTAAGGGTTCCTTTTCGGGTTCTAGGAGCGTTTTACAAGGGTTGCTGTAAGGATTGTAATCAGTGAGCCCGATGCGAGGAATGCCCCTAAACTCCACACCCAAAACCGGAGCATCTTTATCGAGCCCTTGCAGAAACTTAAATCTTGAATCCTAAGCCCTGAACTCTCAACTCTGGACTCAGACCGTTTCCCTAAACACTAATCCCTAAACCCTAAACCCTCAACCCTAAACCGTGAACCCTAAACCCTAAACCCTGAACCCTAAACCCAAAGCCCAAAACCCTTAACCCAAAATCTTAAATCCCACACAGACACCTCGAGCGGAGGCCGAGCTTCCCCCGATGCCGGCACCGGGAGTCCCTGGTCCAAGATTTCCTCGTTGCGGACGATGTTCCTTTTTTACATATATATATATATATGTATACACATATTTACACATGCATGTATGTATGTACGTATGTATGTATGTATGTATGTATGTATTTATGTGTATATATATGTATATATATATATATATATATAACGTGTAAATTTATGCATGCATGCATGCATGCATGCATGCATGCATGCATGTATGTATGTATGTATGCATGCATGCATGCATGTATGTATGTATGTATGTATGTAGATTTGTTTGATGAAAGACCTCTGCTGCTTCAGACCCGGCGTCGAGGAAACCACTTTCCGGCAATGTCCTGATCTCGGGTGATACGGTGGATCGCCCGAAACCATGAACCCGTGCATTTTAGCCCTGTAGCCTCCCAAGCCCCAGAAATCCCAAACCCAAAACTTTCAGTTTGTCCCCAACCTGAAGGGAAAGTGCAGCGTCTTTGCGAGCATGCTTGTCTTCGAACACATCATCAGTTTCTTCAGAAACGAACACCAGTGAATAGATATCTGAGTGATGTCAAGAATCGGTGGATGGATAGATGAATAACTGACTTGAATGAACGCATGGTTCGACGGATTGATGTTTAATCAAAGATCAAGTAGATGGATGGATTAATGAGTTATTGGATGGATGGACGGCTGAATAAATGGACGGATGAATAAAGGAAAGGATGAATAAATGGATAGAATAGTACATGGGTGGATGAATAAAATGATCTATGGATGGATGATAAATATGATGTCCTGCATACTGCACACATCGCTGTTTGCAGTGCTATCGGGACACTCTATCTAATTAACGTGACAGGGCCTTCCTTGAATTCCGGCTTTGATTGTCTCGGGTTCACAAGGCAGGCAGGGCTTCGGGTTTATGGCGAGGGTGCAGTAATCATGCCATGGCTTTGATTTGATCGACGTCTGCAGCATTTCCTGGCCGGCACATTTGTCCACTCTGTGCCTATCTTGCATGTTGCCAACATGCCTTTGGTGATGAAGAAGCCCACCGCAAGAGCCAAGCTTCCTGGTGCATTGTAGTGCCTGTGTATACCGACTGAGTTGCGCGGATCGGGGACTACGGGAGTTTGTGCACTTGGCTGGCGTGCTCTGTACAGAAGTTCCATGAAAGATGCCGGCTCAGTAGTTTGCTGCATGAGTGCCATGTCGTGCGAGAGACCCCGAGATTCCAAACCCTTCCAGCAAACACAAGCAGGATCCCCGAATTACTTCCTTCACGGAAACACGTTGTTTCCGGCAGCGTTGGTTTTGACGAACTTTTGTAAGGCTGGAGGCTCCACGCTGTTGGAACTCTTTGTCAAAGACCTAGCTGCATCTACCTTGTAACTATTGGGTTCAATGCACTGAATACTCCGTCAAATGTCTTTGCAATCGCCTCGGGCCCACTTTGGGAATGAGCTGCAGCACTGCAGGTCGTCGCCGCGTTTCTTTTTTGGGTCTGCTTCAGCAACCGCTCCTGGAAGGCAAGGACTGGGAGCGCTTGAAACAAGAGTCGGTAAAGTGTCATTGTATTTTTCGAGGTCATCGTTGATTGAAATTCTCAGGAAGGTTCTCAGGACGTGCAGGTCACACCGCAGGGCCGTGAGGTTTTGAATGTCGCTCGCTGCACATTTCTCGCAAGTTCGAGGTGGCCTTCGGCTGCAGACCTTCCTCCTCTCCCTTCTCTCTCTCTCTCTGCATTTTGTGAAGTTGGTGCCTTTTCCTTTTAGGTACCAGGCCCGTTTTCTGACCGTCCCTTTACTCTTGTGCGATTCCTTGGTGCCATGCAGTTTTATTCTAAGAGGCTGGGGCACAGTTCAGCTGTGCAGCTGCGCGTTTCTCCGGCCCCAGAGGTGGCAAGCTCGATAGCAGTTACATGTGTTTGCTTTTTCGTTGAGGTGGCAGGCATGCGGCAGACGTGTGGGGAGGAGCTCTTTCAGCAGGTCCATGGGCACGCAGGGTCCTTAGCCTGACCCTGGCCCTCGCCCAATTTCGACCGTGTTTAGGTTAACACTATTGTCAGTGGCTGTCGTGCCATGACGAGGTCGGTTGTGGCTCCGCAAAGGCCTGCAGAAGCGCCGGGGCGCAGAATGTCAGACCCACCGGCTCCTGCTCCCAGAGCGTCAATGCCGCAATCGGTATGCCCAACACATCCGGGACTTCTGGCATTGCGAAATTGTGTTCTTCAGGTTGTCTTTGGTCAGAACCTTTTTTTTCTAGCAGGCTCGGGTGGACCCAGCTTGTCACAGGCGGGTCGGTTTTGCCAGATTTCCAGATGCCCGTTACTGTAACCTACTAGCCTATGTGCTGCTGCCCTCTCACTGCTACCAATGGTGTACGGTGGTCAAGTGCTTCCAGGCTCCCAGCTGCAGTGTCCACCCACTGAACCCAGAGCCTAAAAAAGACATTTGTGGGTTTACTACGGGCCTATTTGTGAAAGACAAAACCTTGTTCTACGACGTTCCTTATCGAAGCTTAGATGAAACTTTCTTCTAAGGATGAAATAGGGCGGCCTGAAGTCCTTCAGCACCCTTGAAGACCAAACCCAAACCCTGATCGAGAGTCAATGCAGGAGCCAGGATGGTCCAGGGCTTCCGGTGCACAGGGTATAATTACGGTAGGTGATTTCCCACTGCAGATTTTGAAGCATTTTGGCCTTTGAGAAAGCCGTTCGCGTCGGTAAAGGTTCTGGACGTGTACAGCCCAAAATCGATTACGGGTGATTACGGGTTGCACACGGGCTATTTATGGTCTACATAGGGGCTGGGTGGGGAAAGCCGGGTCTGTCTGGCCCCGAGATTGGTTTATCGCTAAAATATGGCTAAATTATAGGTTAAGCATGGGTAAATCATGTGTTTTTGCGGACTCGGGGTGGGTAGGAACGATGCTGCTGAGTTCATGTCACACATGCTGCACGGATTGCGTCTTTCCATCTTCGATGGGGCTGGGAAGCTCGGCAGATTGAGGCAGGGCATGTTACTATCGTTGATGAAGGCTCTCTGACCCATCCCATTCCCCTGAGCATCCAGGGACACTCAAGCCTGGCCGATTGTTTGGGTGAGTGGCGCACTCAAGATACCATGTGTGCCCTCGAGCCCCTTCGCGGGCCGCAGTGGTTGGTCTCCAACTGCTTAGGTTCCGAACCCGTGGAAGGGTACACATCCTCTCGATGACTTGTGCTTCCCCAGTTCTGCAATTCCACTGACCTTGAGCTCTGTTATGGACTTTACGAGGTCGTTGCCATACTGCTGCACCGGGGGAAGACGGTCCCCAGTGGGCATTGTGTCTGTGTGTGGAAAAGCGGCGGCACTTTGATTATTCTTGATGATGCTGCCATTGCCAGAATGCACGGTGCTTGAGCGAAACCGCCTCGCTGCAGAAGCATATGTCATCTGGTATCACCGACTCCAGGCAGATGATGCTCGTGAGCGTGATGTACGAACGCCGCCGTAGGATAGCCAGCGGAGCTGACGGTCATTATGGGCTGACTCTCACGTCAGCGCCCACAGAGCCGCCGTGCTGAATACCAGAATCAACCAGACTCGCCAGACGAAGCTCTTCTTCTTTGCGTCCACAGGAAGATGTATGTATGGATGTATGTATGTATGTATGTATGTATGTGTGTATGTATGTATGTATGTATGCATGTCTGTATGTACGTATGTATGCATGTATGTATGTATGTATGTATGTATGTAAGTAATGTATGTATGTATGTATGTATGTATGTATGTATGTATGTATGTACATACACATAATGGGTATATATATATATATATGTGTGTGTGTGTGTATGTGTGTGTGTACGTAGGTGTGTCTTTCTGTCAACCTACATCTACATACATATAGATATACACATACATACGTGGATATGTTTGATACATACATAGATAGGTGTGCAAACCCTCATATATGTTGATCTTCATATGACAAAGCTACTGAGGTAGCACACGTAAAAATATGTATGGATATCATCGTTATAGTGTTTTAAAGTGTCACGAGTGAGTTTGAGCATTTTTGTTATGGGGGTGTTTGGTGTGATTAGTGCAGTTTTGCAGCCGTGCAGGGAGCTTTAAAGTTCGCTTCGCAACGGCATTCCGCTCGTTGGGATTTGATTGTCTTCATGGGGATTTACTGTTTAGAGTTCATGCTTTTTAGGGTTTCGGGATTTCGACAGACCAAAACCTTAACTTATAGGCCGGGATGGTGTTGGGAGGAAGCAAAGCCGTAAAGCCAGAACCTGAGCTAAACCCGACACCCAAACGCCTAAACCTCAAACCCTTCTGTATCCTTACGCCCCCCGAGCGATCATTAGACTTTGAGTTTTTGGCTGAAGGTTTGCTCTAGGACATTTTCAGGTGGGTAGTTACCGTTATAGGAGCCTCATAGAAGGTCTATATACCTTATGGAAGCCTTACGACTGCTTCGGGGTCATCCTGGACACCTTTTCATCATCTGACGAAGCCGGTCTAGTCTTCTGAGCGCATGTCGGAGACCTTCCACGGACTTCGGAGGAGATCTGGTCGGCTCCTTTGCAAATGGATCAGGCCCAACCCCTGACTCAACCCAGGCGTCATGCCAAGCGACATCTGGATGGTTCAACAACAAGTCAACACCATCCGTGGACTCGCACGACGTGCCGAACGACGTTGTTGACTGGAGCCCGCGCCGCTGTCCACCACCTTGTAATGCGCCTTTATCCAGAAAAGGCGCCTTTATCCAGAAAAGGCCTTGCGCGGCTTCGAGCTTACACGCGTGAACACCGTTTGCCCTAACCCTAAACCCTAAATCGCTTTGGGATATGCCTGGCCTCACCGAAGGTCTCCCGAAAGCTCCGGACAAGACGGCATCAGGTCCGATCTGAGATCATTTAGTCCAAATCTCCACCCCCCAAATTAAAAGAAACTGCAGGTGGGGAGTTTGGGGCTTTAGGGTTGTAGGGTTTAGAGTTTTAGGGTTTAGGGTTTAGGGT